CCCTAATTTGTACGCTTGCGGGTCATGTGCTGACATGTCATGAGCTAGCACTACACTGGGTACCCCATACAGTCCTCTATATAACCCTCTTCAAGGAGTTTAGATTACAGCTCACATGGGGAGAGGCATTGATCCCAGCTGCGAGCTTTTGCTCCTGTTTCATTGCAATCGAAAGGTTTAGGGCTTAGCGTATCATCCACTTGCAAGAAGCCCGTTTGTTTAAACAGGGCTTGTAGTATCTAGGTAGGGAACATTCTAGCTGTAATCAGGTTATAAGTTATGAGCTACTCTTCCCCTATAGCTACTATTATACATATATAAATACATCTCGCACTTGCTTTTGAATTCTACCTGCCTAGTTTATAGTATACGGGGGGATACGGGGGGATATATGATGGGCCAGGTCGGCCACGTCTAGAAACATTCAATTGCCCTTAACCCGAAACCCAAAAGTGCCCCTTAAGTAGAACATGGTTTTGGTATATTATACCAAGAACCCCATATACCCCATATTCTATCTACTTAAGGGGGACTGTAAAGCACTGAGGTTCCAGACGAAGTATGACGGCATCCTTCTGAACTGATTGGGAAGCTGAAAGAGTGTAGCGATACTTACAGCCTGAAAAGTAAGAGAGCGGGGCCCTGCTTCGGCTATCCATTTAAAGGGTCCATGTAGCTATATACTATAGTTACTATAGGGTTTGGGGTTTAGGGTATAGGGTTTGGGGTATAGGGTTTAGGGTTTCGGGTTCATGGCTAATGTTGGACCCTCTTTAATGTCTAGGGCCCCCCCCCCTTCCTCCTAACAATAGGGGCCCCCCGATAAATAGAAAATAGTTGTCCTGAATAAGGACCCCACGGTACTGAGGTCCCCGAGAGGCCTTGGAGATTATTTTAAAAGGGATGGTCTGTATTCGGTCCCGTATTTTTAGGGCCCCAAAACAAAACACATTGAACAGGACCTTCCCAACAATGGCCAGATCCTGAACAAGGGACGGCCGAAACACATTAAACAAGGCCTCTTCACTGAAGTGAGTGCAACATTACGGGTTTGAAGTAGAGTGGAGGAGCCTAGATCGGCCTGTTAGCTTCAAACATGTGCATTGATGATGCGTTTTCTCAAATTGCCAAGAATTATAGAGAGACATCTGAACTACACACCATCCTAAAGCTTAGACCCTAAGCCCTAACTCCTAAACTCTAAACCATAAATCCTCTGGTTTCCATGATGATGACTACTGCTAGCTATGTAGTGATGCAGGGTCGGCATGGCTCAGAACAGAGCAGTTTTCTAGGGTTTAGGGTTTAGGGTTCAGCGTTTAGGGTGGAAAGCGTCCAAAGTACCTACATAGTGCAAGTTATGGTTGATGTAGTAGTCGTGGGTTCCCTTAACCACCTCCCCTACACTAGGCCCCCTTGGGTTCCCCTTAAACCAATTGGAGGCTACTGGAGATGAATTAGGAGAAGACTTTGGGTGGTAGTATAGAGGGGGTGGTTGGATTCCATAAAGTAGGACCTGCCGTTATGGTTTTGGATAGTATTCCCTGTGCGGGTAGGTCCCTTCAGAAAAGAATCACTTAGCAGCCGTGTAGGTACACTTTACAGTGCTGAGGTTCCTATAGTCAGGGTTTCGAGTTTAGGGCTTAGAGTTTAGGGCTTTGGGTTTAGGTTTTCGGGATAATCCCATTACAGTATGTTTAAACCTAGTCCGTTTGTGGTCTAGGGAATTCAATAACTGGGATCCGTCTCAGTTTCGTGCGTGGTGTCAGCTGGCTGCCTTGAGAAGGCTCCAGGTGAGATCCCACACCTGGCTGCAATATCTAGGGTTTTGGGTATAGGGTTTAGGGTTACAAAGGTCAATTAGAGGTTTAGGGTGAGGGGTTTTAGGCTTTAGGATTTAAGGGTTTTTTCCCAGAATCGTATAATTCTATTGGGGGGGGACTTCCATACAGGATCCACAATTTCTAAAAGGTTCCAGCTTAAGCTTGGTATATTTAGGTGAAACTTCCCTCCTAAACATTCAACTGCAAACCCTACGCTTTAGACCATAAATTCTAGACCATAAATCCTAACCTCTAAACCCTAAACTCTAGACCCGAAACTCTAGACCCGAAACTCTAAACCCTAAACCCTATGGAACCCACCTTTCAGGTGGTTGCCATAGTGTCAGGTTTATCCCGGAAGCCAGCGGGCTCAAGCATTTCTCAGACTCGGGCCAACACCGTCTGGAGGTCTTTCCTGCTGCTGCTTGGACTTCTTATGGGGTTTTCTGGAAGGAAGGTGTATAGTAGGGGGTTATTTGGGGTGTAGGGTTTGGGGTGTATAGTCTAAACTCCTTGAATCCTTAAGGTGGGGAGTTCATAGGGGATAATACAGGGAGTATTACAGGGCTTAGTGATTAAGGGGGATACCGGACGAGGATGGGGGAGATACCGGACGATGGTTATCTTATATCACTCCATAAGTATATCATTGTTTTTTTATGTATACCGCTAAATCCTACGGCCTTCTTGGAAACATGAACGGGTTCTCTCTGTCCAATTCCTTGCAGTCCTTGGGGCTCAGATGTAGGGTTTAGGGTTTGGCTTAATTGGGCTTGGAAGACTTTAAAGACAGGCGGGTTGTTCAGCTCCCATGGTTCTTCGTACTGGCTCGTAGTAGGGAATGTGGACATGTAGTACATGGGGATGATATAGGGCTTCTATTCCTTGCTTCCCTACTAACAACCAGGAAGTCTTTTGTTCAGCAGTGGTTTCCTTTCAGAGAAGTCTCGCTCCAGCCCATTCAAGCCTAATGTAACACATACCATAGTAATTTCCGTTCATCCCCAAGCCCTAAACCCCATATAATCTCATTATAGTAGCTTTCTAATCTATCATAGGAGTCTAGAAAAGCTGACGCTGCCTTTCGAGTTGGCCGCTGTACATTCCCAAGGGCAACTGAGTCCCAACTACCCTTATCAAGGGCCGTATTCCATAGTTTAGAGACCCAAACTTCAGGGAATCAAACCCTAAGGGTACAAAGGAAAACTCCGTGAAACTTTCAACGCAGCCCCATTCCTCGACGGTTCGGCCTGTACATCGGATTGCTGGGCAGAAGTGAATGCTGGAGGGCTTTTGATCTCACAAAAGCATATGCAAGTCCCGTACATAGGAAGCTGCTCGTCATCTGAGCATTACCACTGCACATCGCCATGGTCGCAGCTGCATAGAATGTATGATTGTGAATGGGTGCGACTTAGCTTCGTAGACACAATTAAAGTTACTGCTATTTGCTTAAGAACCCTGAAAAGAAAACAGCAGTAATCCCTATATTACCCTTATAAGGAAGAATATTTTTTGGTGGTTCTTAATCAAATAGTTGGTTATGAGAGGCCCTGAGCCGAAACCCTTAAAGCTAAGCCCAAAACCCTTAAACCCATAAACCACAGACACGCCTTAACTCCTATAGTCCCCAAACTGTAAATCCATTTGTATAATACCCCAAACCCGAATACACAACCTGTAAGTCGACCTTAAGCCCTAAAATCCCCCAAGCCCTACTAACTTATAAGTATGCCACAAACCCTAAACCCTAATCCCTAAAACTGCACTGCTGTGCGATGCGCGTGTCTAATTCCTAAAAATCCTGCAGCTCAGGCAATGGCGGATCGCAAGGCTGAAGCCCGGCTGCATTGGTTGGAGCTGGCCCTTTGCAGGGTTTACTTGCTGGTTCTTAGAAGGGATATATTCTAAAAGGTATTGTAAAAAGGAATATACTGTAAACGGTGTTATATAGGGAGAATATTCCCGACTAAGAATCAGCAAATTTATGGTTTCGGATTGAAGGTTTAGTCTATGGATACATGGCTGAGCTGGACCTCCTATGTCAGACTTTTTTGGGGGATCTGCCCCAGGAAAACAGACAACATCCGGGGTTCGAAGGGCGGGTTCAGGATCTGGAGTTGTGGCCTCAGAGGGTGTAGTGGTCCAGGCGTAGGATTGCCTTCGAGCTCCTGCGCTGCGCGTGTCGTTCATCCCTGCGACAAGCATCAGTCCGGTGGCAAAGGGTTAGAGGTTAATACTACGCTTACTTTAAGGGTTTAGGGTTTAGGGGAGCTAAGGAGCTAGGGACAGTCTAGATCAATATAATGAGGGGAGCTAAAGAGCCCAGGAATCTCCAAAACCATAGGGGAGTTTAGAGTATAGGAAAGGAAGCGGGAATTCTGCAGGGTGGCTAGTACAAGTATGGCATCTTCTTTAGGGGCTTTTACGGTCAGTTTTGGTTTTCAGGTTTTAGTGACTTTCGTGTTTTGGGTGGTTTTGGAATGCCTCCTTACGAAGCACCCCAGAGACATGGTTTGATAATCCCAAGACGTAAAACAAGACCCTGCCAAAAGGCCAGCTATTTAGATAATTTTGCATGACCCCTATGTACAGCAAAGCGGCTGCACTCCTTTGTCATTTTTCATGAAGAGACCGTGAAAATTGTGTTTTGGCCGCCGCTTATTCAATTTCAGGCCATTGCTTGTCAAGACCTTGAATACGTGTCAAAACTTGGGTGCCCTCACAATATAAGAAGGTTTTCAACCTTCCTAAGCTCAAGCTAGAGGCTCATTGCATAGCGTTGTAAGCCAAGGATGCTATAAGACCGTTTATCCCTCCGCCTCACGAAACGTTGGGCTCTTGAGGGACTTTGGGGTTGGAGATTTAGGGGGTAGAGTTTAGGGTGCTGTGTCTAGGATTCTATGTTTTGGGGGGTACCTCTTCTCAGGATCCTGGTTGATATACACTGAGACGGCCCCTCGCACAAAGACAGCCAAGGCACTGTTATTTAGGCACTTCCCTGCCTCAGTAGTTGTAAGAGACCGTGGTAGCAACAGTAACGACATCGTGTTGGGGATGTTTAGTATCACTGCTACTGCTCTTAACAGTTTTTTGGTTCTTCTGATGATTCAGCGGTGCATCCGTGCTGACCCCCAAAACCCCCCCTCAGTCCTGCAGGTGATCAAGAACGCAGACATGGCTGAAGACATGCAGCAGGATGCCATCGATTGCGCCACACAGGCCCTGGAGAAGTACAACATTGAGAAGGACGTTGTGACGGCTAGTGTTCAGGGGTGTTAGGGCCTATCTACAACATGTAAAAGAAGCGGGCCTGCTGCCGCTTCACTATGGGTGATCGTGACCCCACTTCCATTTTCAGAACTCTGCCCAGACCCCGCAGGGGATCCAAATTGGATGCCCAATCTAAACCCATGATAACCCCTACATAACCTATTCCCCATACAGTCTTGTGGGATCTAGTTTGCTGAGCTTTGGGGGCCTGCCTGCCTGATTTTTGTGTAATAAGGGGTGCCCTATAGGGTGGGCATTTCCAGTTGCTGCAGGACATTGCCGCGTTCATCAAGAAGGAGTTTGACAAGAAGTGCGCCTGCGAGATAGGTACTGCTGAAAACAGGGTCCTATCATGATAAGGATGGTGCCCAAACCCCTGAACCACAAAGCCGACATGCTTCTATATACCTCAATACAACCCTCTCCCCCCTCCCAGAGCGGGGGACCACTAGCTCACTAGCTGGAGAATCCTCCCAGTCAGGTGCTGAGACTTATGCCTGGTTGGTTTCAACCTTTTTCCAAATGCTCACAGGCCTTGAACATGAATTGTCACATGCAGAGACCTAAATACTAGTCGCCAAAATAATTTCCATATTACGTTCGTAGACTCCTCGCAGAACTATGGTATAGTCTGCCTCAACTAGACCTCAAGATGATATTCGACACTGCAACACATGACACTACCCGGAGCGAGAGCAAGCCCGAGACAAACACTGGAGCCGGGGTGTTCGGCTGGCGGCAGCTCTGCACTAGATGCATTCACACTGTTAACAGTCCTTTTCGTCCCCTATTGTTGTTCTTGTTACCAATTATATCTACCTTTATTCTTTATGTTCTAGTAGTGGTGCATCATGATTCGTATTACTACTATTGCTACTTCAGGTACAACCCCACTTGGCATTGCGTGGTGGGTCGCAACTTTGGCTCGTACGTTACCCACGAGACGAGTCTTGACTTGGCAAGCGGCTAGCAGAGTCGAGTATAGCAGAGTCAGCCCAGTTTCTTGAATAGACCCTAGGTCATTCTTAAGGGGGCCCGCTATAATCCCTATATCCCCATGTCATTCTTAAAGGGGGCCCCTATAATCTAGGGTTTCTTGCAGCAGTCCCTTTTTGAGAGCCCCTGTGGATTTCTTACACAAGGGGTTCCCCTGAGTAGTTTTGTACTTGACCGTAAGGAATCAGTACCAGGCAGTATACAATTTAGGCCCAAGCTCCTAGTTCAATAAGCCGCGGCTGGCGGCTGGAGTATATATTATCTCTGCATTTAGACCCTCAGGGCCAGGGATGTTGAGAAGCAAGTAGACGGTGGTTCTCACGGTTGCCTTCTCTCTGGAAACTACCTGGGCCAGAGGCTTACTGGGGTCCTGATTATGTCCTCTATAAACTCCCCAATAATTCAATAACATTGTGGTTTTCATGTTACTTCCATTCTAACCCATCACCTCCCCCTAACATTAAAACCCCCCACCCATCTCAGATAAACATTCCCAATGTACTGTAAGATGCCACAATGGGAGTACTTGAAATTGGGGCGTGGGTGGGGTTTCTAATATCAGGGCCTAGGATTAATTCCATACTAACATCCAGCAAGGGAGGCTCCAAGAACCTTACGCTCATCTCCAAAACGGAAGTCCCGCTTACACAACCCAAAGCATCTCAACACAAGCACTCCTCAAAGGCTGCTGCCCTTTCTTGTGGAAACGCTCACAACACACGAGTAGTATTTTATTTGGGGATATTCTGGTACTCAATATAGAGCAAGGTTCTATCCTCCTTTTGGGGTATAGTATTTATATATAAGGAATATAATCTTACTAGGTTCAAGCACCAACAAAACAATACTCACATGCCTTGAGGTTTGGGACGCCTAGAGGCTCCAGTCGTACCAGAAATGCATTATCGGAAGCCCCACATCCAGGCCGCACAGCAACTTCCACGACGTCCTGTCCTGTCCAGGGCCCAATATTTGGGAAGACTTTACGCATCAAGGGTATACAGGCTCTACAAGCCCTAGAGTAGACATGCTGTTCCCTACATGGCCTCCAAGCGCAACAGCAAGTCCGACATGAAGAGCACTACAAGCTAACTGCTAAAGTGACACGGGGAGCTGATACCTTATAACTATCCCTGCAATAACCCATCAAATCTATATACCACCCTTACAGAACTTATTCTCGTCTTGTAAACCCCATATCAAATGATACTTATATTCCACCTCTCTCCTAAGCCTTGATTACAGAAACACTGAGGAAGCACTTCATCTACTTCTACCTCGGGCAGGCCCGGGGCGTTTTAGATTTTAGGGTATGGGGTTTAGTCTGGCAGCCCTGGGAAACTGAGTTATTGTGAAGGAAATTGATCTCTAGGTTGTCATATTGGGTTCCGGTTTAAACGGGTTATAGGCGTCTAATATACTCTTAAGAAATTCTTCATTATTCCAGTTATGAACATGTATATATATATATATAACACCAGTGTTTCGCAAGGTGCCTAGCGCTTCATTAAACTCACATCGCGACACTGCACTCATGACAAGGGGTCCAAAGGCTGATATTTCCGCTCATGGTTTAGTTCCCTGAAAAAATTGCAGGCGTAAGCTGAACATGAAAGGCGTAATTCAGGGAAATTAAGCAGGCTTTATGAAATATTTGATAAAACATGTACATGTAGAGTCGAGGATTTGGGTATAAAGACTTGTATGGAGAGATCGGTTTAGTTCTTCGTAGAGAAGGATCTAAGCGTCAGATCTTCCCGGTGGTGTGTTCCAGTGACTTCACGGTTTGGGGTTTAGGGTTTAGGGTTTGGAGTTCAGATTTAGAGTTTCCGGCCTCCCTTCTCCTGTATTTTTCCTCCTGCAACACCAATCTCATGTCCCAATATCGAACCCCCACTAATTGATGTTCCGAGATTATTCGCCTTGTCGACACTTAAGCTACAGAATCCGGTTAATTTAATCATTCGCGTCTGCTTCAGTAGGAGACGGAGATTGCGGAAATTTCGTGCCAGGGATGCTTTGAACCCAGCTAAGAGCGAGTTTGGCGACAGTGGGGGACCAGTCTTGGCTCCACTTAAAGCAGTTAAAGTTTGGTGGTGGAACAAAACTATCCAAAGAGGTAGTAGAGTGCTACAGTACTCATTGGGGGAGGTCCCCACCGCATTAGAATCTGGGCTTACGCAAATCTCTGGTAATTGCTTTCTGACTTTTTCCTTGTTGTGCTTCACAGGTTGAGTCCTGACATCATTGATGGGCATCGGTTGAATGCTGCGCCCACTCATTAACAGTTGGATAATGGTTATAATAAAACAATTTAGAGCCTTTAATATGACCCCTAACATAGGGGCAGGGCATCGGGTTATGACATCAGCAAGACGTTCTGCCCTGAGTCTGGCTTGTGCAATGTATGCCACGTGATCCATGAAAGCCTATCTTCCTGCAAAGTAAATTGGAGCCCCGAACAGGGAAATCACGATCTTATGGGGTTATGCAGGGGTACATAGTATCCTAGGGATGTATAGGGTTGTGGGGTTTTATACTGCCCCAAACTTAACATGGGGCCCTAACGAGCACACTTTCAAAACGGTCACTGCGGTTCTTTTGGTGCCCCTTTTTGGGCCTGCATGTTAGCTTTGCGAGTGTAATCTCCAGGTGGCTATCTTGTGCTTCAAGTCTGGATGAATGCACGGGACTGAGACCGCTTCGGGCATGGCTACACTACAGTGGCCTCGGACCATCCATGAGAGGGGGCTATTACAGCCCTTAGGGCATTGAGTATAATGCTATACCAGGATCTCCAGACATACCTAGCCCAGCTCTAGAGAGAACATATTGCCTCAATGCACCATTATTAGAGGTTAACACTTTTTTAACTTCGGACCCTGCTAACCCAATCATTAGGGTAGCTAGATCCAGCAAAAACACAAGAAAGGACAAGCAAAGGCTCGCACAGTGGATCATTTTTTAATGATAGGCTCCCAAAAAAGGGGCGGGTGCCCATATAGACACAAAACTACTGTCATCCTTATTCTTATGGGACCCGCAGAAAAATGTCCCTACTTCTGGGAAGCCCCTATATGCAGACATGTTGCAACAGGCTTTTAGTCTTTGGGATTGATGTTTGGGTGCAAGGATGGGTTCTAGCAAGTAGCAATAAATAGGGAGTAGACAAGGATTATACAGGGTATATATTGGGGCAATGGGGCAATATAGGGATAATGGAAAACAAAATGGAAACTACTATTTAGGGTTTAGGGATAGTGGGTAATTTTCCCAGAATGAACCTTGCATTGCCTTACGTAGCCCTTGTATAGTCCTAATGTCCCCATCTAAGCCTTATCCCTAACCCCAATATCCCTAAACCCTAAACCTGCCACTACCCATTTGAAAACTCCCTTAATGGGTTGATCATAAGGGTACTGGCGAGGTGCTCCGGCTTTCTATACGGACCTACCGGGGTTAGGGGCAACCCACTACCCCCTTTCTGTGCTTTAAAACTCTTATAGTATAACCCTAAACAAGTATCAAATGATTTTTTTATAGGTCTAAGGAGACTATAGCTTTAGGGGGGCTTGGGCATGCTTTAATATTGTGGGGTGGTGGCATGTTCACGGGGCAGGAGATTATGAGAGAGAGTGATATTAGCAGCCATTCCGTGACAAAAATCAAATCCGCCGGAAGATAATTGTCACAAAGACCGTATCATCACATGTGGGGAAATCCTTCGTTATGAGAAAGGTTGCCGGTTGTAGGTTTCATGATGAGGCGGAGTTACTTGCCTTCCCCCAAAGTAGGATGGAACAAGACCAGCTTCAAATAGGACACTTGTCTTTGTAGGGCTTCCATGCCACCTCTGAACGAGCTTCTTTGGCAAGGTGCATGGTGCACGTGGCTGAGGATGTACCTGTAGAGTTGGCCTGGCTGGAGGAACTCAGGTGTCTGCTGCATCCTTTATCACTTGTTGCATGTCTCAAGATTTCCCTGCGGCCCTGGGTAGTTCACATGTACACCTACTTTGAGAAACTCCCGATAATCCCCTCTCGCCCTACTTGAAAGAGATTTGGGAGGGTCCAGGGTCGGGGTTACTTAGTCATTAAATAGGCCAGTACTGATGATAACTGGGGTTATTCTATGGCTTACAGATCTTACTAAGTCCACTTGACCCCCAAAGTAGAAAAGATCCCTTCATCAGTCCTCCTAATGTGTAACCTTAATGTCATATTGGAATATGTATTGTTTGGGAGGGGGTTAAGCCTTTGTAAACGGTAAGAGGAACAGAGTGCCCTGTAAAGATTGCTGGCATTGTGAAGCGATTCTAAAAGGACTTCTATGATAATTGAGGGTCGCTGTAGCATTATCTAGAGCACCCCTTTGGGTCAAGGGTTCAGGGTTTAGGTGTAGGGTTTAGGGAGAAAAGAGCCCTGAACATAGCCATGAAATACGTAGCCACAAAATGTGCAGATGCCATGACAACCACAGCTGGATCGCATGTGTTTCGAATACGTTTTGGACGGCAGTAAACTTCTGCTGTCCGAGCCTTGTAATTGCAGCGACTCCAACCTGCATGGAAAAATCGCACATTCGAAATTCAAAGCAGTCCTTGGTGAATCGCGCTAGTAACTATAAGCACCTGGACATAGTCTCCCAACCTATATATTCCGGGCTCCACAAGGGTATCCTATCTTTCAAGAAACACCCACACAAGGTCCAGGGCTTACGGTCGAGCGATAAAGAGCCGAAGTGAGGAGTTTTGTTGCTCGCTCACATGGCTTCTGGTATGTGAGGAAAAGCATGTGGTAGGGCCCCTAATTTTCGGAAACTCCCACGTAGCGTCTTTCACTGAAGCAGCTGTTGAATTTTCAGGTGAGTTTTCAATGACAGCTAAAGTAAGAGCATGTAACTGACCTCCAACACGCATTGTCGTCCATTGCTACTTCACCACTCCACAC